ACACACACACACACATACAGATACACAAACCGACACACAAAGTTAGCGCTTTATATAATCCTTCTATTATATAAAGCGCTAACTTTGTGTGTCGGTTTGTGTATCTGTATGTGTGTGTGTGCGTGTGTGTGTGTGCGTGTGTATGTGTGTGTGTCCGTCCGCAAAATGAAGTGAGTGAGAAGGAAGCTCATGGGATAAACAAACCGCTAACAATCGGGTAGCTTACAGGATTTGAGATATCAATGTTTTGTAGCAGGATAGTTGTGATAACACTCTTAGGGCTATATAAACACCTGCTTAGCACACTTCCGTTCATTCCACATGGTGCTGCAGTGGCAGCTGGAGGGCAGTGGAGAGGAGGAGGATGAGGAAGGGAAGCGAAAAATCTACCGTCATATCATGATTGTGTCCCTTCTACTGTATGAAACACCATTGTGTTGCATACGCGTCACTTCCAGAGGTGTTGGTGTCACAGGAGGAAGGGACCATAGCGGAGGATAGAAAGCTTGCGCAGGAAAGGAAGGTCCCGGCGGTTGACGGGGGACTAATCTGGTAAAGGATTGGTAAGGACAAAGATACGAAATCAGAAGGGCGTCGTCGAGCTCACTACGATGTGTGTGGTTGCGGCGGGCTCGCCTATCACTTGACAGCGCGTTACGGTTACGGTAGCCCGTTGCGTACTGATGTTAGATTCTTGTTGTGTGGATTGCATACAATGCCCACCAAAGTGATCAGTTGTGGAGAGAGTAAGCAAAAGAAAGAAAGGAATATCCACTAATTTTGATTGACAACAGCTTAAAAATGTTCGTGTAGAACCCGTCTCAAGCTTCCACTTCCTCATAAACGTGAATGAGAGATTAGTTGCGCACGCTTAAAGGCAAAAGTCGGGCTCAATAAGGGGGTATTATGGCGATTGAAACTGAGTATAGAGATGCGAAGTGGAACGACAGTGGAGAAAAAACTGAGAAAAACCGTCGACAAGGCCGTTAACAAAACCCTCTTTCCCACTAGCAGTGAAGGAGGCTGGCTTGGGAAGAGGCACGTACAAACAAGTTTTCTGAAGATATCAGTCGTTCTATCGGTTGATACGGCAATCAACCTAGCTGATTTCACACGTTATGCCAGCCATGCACCACATCCCAAGGTGGGCGGTCGTAGCGGGGCCAGGCGGCGATAGCGCATAGTACATGCCCTATTACTGCGCCGTTTCGGGTTTTGAGTGTGGGAACATCTCTACGGGTGCGTAACCAAGTACAGGCATGACCGAAAGGGTTGGTTTGGTCAACTAATCCCGACCTTTGCCTTTAACGGGCATGAAATCCCTACGGATAACTCGTGTCAATACTTCAGCAACGACACTTTTGAATGGGTTCATAACACGAGTTGCTCCTTCTTCTTCTGCCGTGAAGGAGTAAGGAAGTGTCTATCAAAGCCATGGGCCTAGAACTCTGTGAATTGAGATTCAAAGTACTGCTCGAAGGAAAATCCATGGTAAACTCTCCTGCACAATCGGTTCGACACGACAGGAATCGTGGCTCTTCTTTTGTCCATTTTTGCTTCGATCGGGATCGAGATGTTTGACCAGCTATCCATATTTTCTCACTATTTAGGTCTCTCAAGTGTCGCTTTGCAGATATAATCGGAAACAAAAACTTATGCATTAAAAATTTTGACTTTTTTCTTACTGTGTTCCCTGGAATTAAAATTTACGACAACAAATATGCTTGTGGTGAGTTCCATGGCAAGGTAGAAGGGGGAGGGAAGGAATACCATTAGAGAAATCTTTTTCATTTGAAACAACCAAAGCTCTTCAGAAGCAGAATGTATTGGCGGAGTGGTAACAGAAGAATACCTTCAGCACATTTCGAGATGCAGAACTGTACATGGAGATTTGAAAGTTGAAAACTGGTGGTACAGTGAGTTGTTTGAATTCACTGCAATTTTCATAGAATTCCCCAAAGACTGCTATAATTATTATAGAAAAACCACAAAATGTAAAAAATTTGAAGAATATTGATGTAATCACTGGAAGATTATTCATAACTAATAATACTGGAATTTCTGAGATCGACGATTTTTCCTCTCTCAAATATGTTGGAAAAAAAGACTCCAGTGAGTAATTATAATGTTACACTTCTGCCAATATTATACTCCAGTGAGTCATTCTGCTGAGTTATCATATATGTACACGTCATTGGCTGTAAAAGAGAATGCGGCTGTTACCACTTTCATCTGCTCCAGACATTTCATTTATAGTGAGTTTCAACATGATCTAGGAAAAGTTTGTTGCTTTGGACTCTCTTCTGCCCCAGACAAAAATAGTTTAAGCAAAGGAGGAAAGCTACTCAAACTAAAACAATGAATGGGAATTGAAGAATGAATTGTAAGATGGACTTCCTGCTTGAACGAAGCGATACATCCCGATTAGTTGCACCCACTGAAGAATTCAATTACGCAATATTTCGAGCGCGAGCACTGGAATATTCCAGAACCAGAATATTTGAAGATCCCTACTATATATAAAGAGCTATGTGTGTGTGTTTGTGTGTGTATATATGTGTGTACAATATGTATATGTGTGTATATGTGTATGTATGTACAGTAGCGGTCAAAAGTCTTCGCCGAAATTGTTTTTCGACTGTAACTTTTTTTCCGCTGAATCAAATCAATTCAAATTTTAATATGTTTTAGAGATAGTCCTACTTCACTTAAACGGCATATTTGTTTCGGATTGAGAAAGAATTAAGAATGGAAAAAATCATTTCACTAGAAATTCTCGCGTATGAGCAAATTCCAAGTAGGTTTCAAATTACTCTAGCAAGCTTACAATTCAACAAAACAATCATACGCATGATGAATAACACTGGGCAGGTCCAATACTTTGTTTTTAATCGCTCCTTTTGGGTTCGCGTTGAAATATACTAACAAGGTCTAGGTAAGGAATCAATCATTGAATGCACTGGCTACTAGGGCAGCTTCCTCCACTTTTCTTAAAATCTGACAAGTTTCTCGCCCATATCCCGGCTCTTATTTCCACCATAAGTATCCCTATCCTTTCCCATAATATTTCGATGGCGCTCGGGACATTGGTGTGAATTGTTCCCTTCGTTGAAAGCGCGCCATGCTGTCGAAACCAATCCTTCACAGTGAAGGTGCGATGCTTTTGGTCGCTCTATAGCTAGAAGGCGGAACTCAGTCACGTACAGTTTCATACGAGCGGATACGAAACTCCTTCTAGAATCTATCTGATACGTCGGCATTCACCACTTCTCTAATCCTGTGCAGTTGTAAAACTTCTTTTACGGACTACCACACGCGAGCCTCCGCCAAGTTTTACATACGGCAGTTAATTCCTTGGATCGAAACGTTTTTCCTCAGGACCGCACACATTCCTATTTCAGTCGCCGGCAAACATCTTGAATTCACTCTCGTTGGTCCGCAGGACGTTGTAGCCCTATGGGGATCCCCACTTTAGGTGTGCGTAAGCACATTTCGCCCCCGACCAGATTCACCGCCGACTAACTTCGCAGTATTCGCAATCATGTGAAGGCAGCCTATACAGTTGGGTTCTAGAAGGAGCTCTTATCCACGTGTATGACAGCTGCCCGCGACTGAGCTCGCCTTCTAGCATTAGTGCGACCAAAAGCATCACACCTTCACTGTGAAGGAGTGGCTTCGCCAGCATGGCGCGCTTTCAACGAAAGGAACAATTCACACCAATGTCCCGAGCGCCATCGAAACATTATGGGAAAGAGTAGGGATACCTTTGGTGGAAATTAGAGCCGGAATATGGGCGAGAAACTCGTCAAATTTCAAGAGAAGTGGAGGAAGCTGCCCTAGTAGACAGTGCATTCAATGACTGATTCCTTACTTAGGCCTTGTTAGTATTTCAGCGAACCCAGAAGATCATTAACAAAGTATTGGACCTGCCCAGTGTTATTCATCATGCGTAAGATTGTTTTGTTGAATTGTAAGCTTGCTAGAGTAATTTGAAACCTACTTGGAATTTGCTCATACGCGAGAATTTCTAGTGAAATGATTTTTTCCATTCTTATTCTTTCTCAATCCGAAACAAATATGCCGTCCAAGTGAAGTAGGACTATCTCTAAAACATATTGAAAATTTGATTCAGCGGACAACGAAAAAAGTACGTAGACAAGAATATTCTGCGAGACTTTGACGTACTGTATATATACAGGGGGGGCCAAAAAAAAGACATTTTGCCTCCACTTCCAGATGGATTTAAGCACATTTTACTCAACTCAGACCGAACGGTTCCAACTTATTATTAAAGAGTGCAGTTCCATTCTATAAGAAATTCTTCATAGTGGCCACGTACGTGGACGGCATCAGAGAATTTAGCATGAAACTGTGCACTGGTCGATCTCAATGGGGTCTTCGAAGGATCGTGTACCATAACGACCCTTACTGGAAAGCTAGTTCCGAGGGGATTTGCACAGTGGTAGCTAATGCCTCTAGAAAACTATCCAACATTAAATCGATTCACGAAATTGCGTAAGAGCTTCAGGCTGAAGCTCTTACGGTAGACCTCCTTGAGCCTGACGACGGTGACAGATGACGTCATATTCTGAAGACGGTGAGGGCAGTGAAGGAGAGCCTGCGTACACTAATAGAGGAACACTTAGGGAATACTCTGCTGAGGAACTCCCGTCAACGACAGCAATCTCTGCGAAGAAAAAGAGCCGAAGTCCGACATAGGCAAAA